TGCTCTTGCTCCTCTAGTTTTTTAAGATGCACCACTAGGTTTTTTATTTGATGTTTTTCTAATTTTTTGATGTAGGTGCTTACTGCTATAAAATTTCCTCTTAGTACTGATTTTGCTGTATTCCATAGGCTTTGGTATGCAGTGTTTTCATTTTCATTTGTTTCATGAAATTTTTTAGTTTCCTTCCTTCTTTCTTCATTGACTCACTGGTCATTCAGGAACATATTGTTTAATTCCATTTGTTTGTCCAATTTCCAATATTCCTCTGTTATTGATTTCTAGCTCTATTCCACTGTGGTTCAAAGAAGATACTGTATATGATTTCAATTTTTTGAATTTTCTCAGGTTTATTTTGTGGCCTAACTATGATCTGTCTTTGAGAATGACCCATATGCTGAGAGGAATGTGTATTCTGAAGCCATTGGATAAAATGTTCTGTAAATATCTATTAGGTCCATCTGTTCCATTGTGCAGATTAAGTCCAATGTTTCTTGGTTAATTTTATGTCTTGATGATCTGCCTAAAGCTGAATATGGGGTGTTAATGGTATCCAGCTATTACTGTATTGGGGTCTATCTCTCTCTTTGGCTCTAATAATATTTACATCTCTGAGTACTGCAGTGTTGGATGCATATATATTTAAAATTATTATATCCTCTTGCTGAACTGACCCCTTTATCATTAAATAATAATTTTATTTGCTCCTTTTTACAATTTTTGTATTAAAATCTATTTTGTCTGATATAAGTATAGCTACTTATACTCTTCTTTGGTTTCCATTACATCTTTTTCCATCCCTTTACTTTAGTCTATGTGTGCCTTTACAGGTGAAGCATGTTTCTTCTAGGCAACAGATCATTGGGTCTTGTTTTTTATCCATGTAGCCATTCTGTGTCTTTTGATTGGAAAGTTTAGCTTATTTACATTCAATATTATTAATGATAAGTAAGGACTTACTTCTGCCATTTTCTTATTTTTTTCTGGCTGTTATATGGTCTTCTCTTCTTCCTTTTTGTCTTCCTTCTAGTGATAGTGATTTTCTCTGGTGGTATGTTTTAATTTCCTGGTTTTTATTTTCATTTTTTTCACATCTGTCATGTATTTTTTAACTTGTAGTTACTGTGATTCTTGCAAATAATATCTTATAATCCATTATTTTAAACTGATAACAACTTAACACTGATTTTATAAAAAAGTAAACGGAAAACTAATAAAGACTCAACACTTAAACTTCTTCCCCCCTCTTTTTAACTTTTTATTGTTTGTATTTATATCTTATTGTACTCTCTATGTATGTAAACATTGTTTTAGTTATTATTTTTGGTCATTTCCTCATTTAATCTTTCCACTAAAAAAATCAATAATTGGCACACCTCAATGAGAGTATTATAATATTCTGTGCTTTTCTGTGTACTTACTATTACCAATGAGTTTTGCACCTTTAGATGGTTTCTTATTTCACACTGAGAAATTCATTTTAGCATTTCTTGTAGAACAGGCCTGGTGTTCATAAAATTCCTCTGTTTTTTGTTTTTCTGGGAAAGTCTTTGTTAAGCCTTCATATTTGAAGGACATTTTTACTGCATTTACTATTATAGGATATATCTTTTTTTCTTTCAGAACTTTAAATATGTCATGCCAGAGACATATTTAAAGTTTCTCATTGTAAACTTCACCTGTCTCCTGGTCTGTACCACTGAGAAGTCTGCTGCCAGATGTACTGGAGCTCCACTGTATGTGATTGGTTCCTTTTATTGTGCTACTTTTAGGATTATTTATCCTGGACTTTGGGAGTTCAATTATTAAATGCCTCGAGGTAGTTTTCTTTGGGTTAAATCTGCTTGGTGGTCTATAATGTTCTTGTACTTGGATATCAATATTTTTCTGTAGGTTTGGAATGTTCTCTATTATTATTACTTTGAATAAACTTTCTACCCAAATCTCTCTCCCTGCTTCTTTTAGGCTGGTAACTCTTAGATTTGCCTTTTTGAGACTATTTTCTAGCTCTTGCAGGCATGCTGTAGTCTTCTTTTTTAATCTTTCCAGTTTTGTCTCTTTTTACTGTATTTTCAAATAATTTTTAAGCTCATTGATTCTTCTGATTGATGAATTCTGCTGTTAAGAGACTCTGATGCATTCTTCAGTATGTCAATTGAATTTTTCAGGTCTAGAACTTCCACTTGATTATTTTTAATTATTTCAATCTCTTCGTTAAATTTATCTGATAGGATTAGAATTCCCCCTCTCCGTGTTATGTTGGATTTCATTGAGCTTCTACAAAATAGTTATTTTGAATTCTCTGTTTGAAAGGTTATATATCTTCGTCTCTTTAGGATTGGTCGCTGGTGCCTTATTTAGTTTGTTTGGTGAAGTCATGTTTTCTTGGATGTTCTTGACACTTGTGGATGTTCATTGGTGTCTGGGCATTGAAGAGTTAGGTACCCATTTTATTTGTCACAGTGTGGGCTTGTTTGTACCTTTTCTTCTTGGGAAGGCTTTCCAGGCATTTAAAAGTACTTGGGCATTGTGATTTGGGTATTCTCACTGCAGTCATACCAGCTTCACAGGACACCCAAGCCCAGTAATGGCATGGATCTTACAAACTCAAAGAGGTACCACCTGTGTGGTCTTGGGTAAGAGCCAGGAGAATTCCCTGGATGACCATAGACTCTTGTTCTTTCCATACTTTCTCTCAAACAAATGTAGTCTCTGTCTGTGCTGAGCTGCCTGGAGCTGGAAGATGGTGACATGAGCACTCCTTTGGCCATTACCACTGGAACTGTGCTTGCTCAGACTAAATGCCAGCACAGCACTGGGTCTCACTCAAGGCCCACAGTGTCCAGTCCCTATTTTCTATGTTCATTCAAAGTCCTAGAGCTCTACAATCAGTAGGTGAAAATCCAGCCAGGCTTGGGTCCTTCCTTTCAAAGCAGCATGGGCCCCTAGCCCTGAGAAGGTTTGGAGATGCTGTCCAGGAGACAGGTCCTGGATTTGGTAACTTTTGGGATCTACTTGGTGCTCTATTCTATTACAATTGAGTTGGTACCCAAGCTCAAGACAAAGTCTTTCCCACTCTTCCCTCCCCTTTCCACTTTAAATGTAATGCCACTGACATATTTTAAGATTCAAGCATAGGAGTTTCTCCTTGTGGCCACCACCATCCCAGGCCCATAGCAAGTACTGCTTGGCTACTGCCAATATTCACTCAAGACCCAAGGTTCTTCCATCGGCTTGTGGTGAATGCTGCCAGGCATGGGTCTCTCTCTTCAGTCCAATGGAACCCCCTGACCCAAGATAAGGCCAAAGAAGTCATCCAGGAGCCAAAGTCTTGAATTGGGAACAGGAGGAGCCTGCTTGGTCCTCTGCTTCATTGCAACTGAGCTGGTAACCAAACTGCAAGACACTGTCGCCATTGTTCATCCTTATCTTTTTGCAAGTAGAACGGGTCTCCTCACATTGCTACCATAGTTGAGAATTCACTGGGGTCACACCTGAAACCAGCACAGCTCTGAGTCACACCTAAGTCCTACTGCAAGTACTGCCTGGACCACTACTGATTATTCAGAGTCTGAGGTCTCTTTATGCAGCAGGTAATGGATACTTCCAGAACTGTGTCCTTCCCTTCAAGGCCATTGGTTCCCTTCTGACACAAAATGTGTTTAAAAATGTCATCCAGGAGCTAGGGCCTGGAATGGGGGCCTCAGGACTCTGCCTGGTGCCCTCTCCTACTGTGATTGAGCAGATATTCAAGTTGCAAGACAAAGTCCATTTTACTCTTCCCTCCCCTCTCCTCAAGCCAAGGGAAGGAGTCTCTCCTGAAGATATGAGCTTCACTGCAGCCTGGGACTGGGGGAGAGCTGACACAAGTACTTCCTTGGCTGCATCAGCCGGTATCTCACTATGTCACATGCCTTCCAAGTCCACTGATTCGGCCCAGCACAGCACCAGGACTTGCCCAGGAATTGCAGTTCATATGATCTAGATTGTCTTTCAAGTTTGCCTTTCAAGTCCTTATGGTCTAGCTTGTCTTCCAAGATTGCCTTTTATTTAGGACCTCACTACTCTTTAGCCCACAGTGGCAGGGATTGCCAGAACTCACGTTCCAACTACTGGGTGGACGATTTGACTCTGGATAGAGTTAGTCTAAATGCTCCCTCTGTAGGTGCTGACTGAGTTCTGTCCTGTATTGCTTCCCACTATAACAGGGCATCACTGAGTTCCAATGCAAAGTTCCACAATCTATGTGCTTTTCTTTCCCAAATCATACAGATTCTGTCTCCATGCCATGTGTCTGCATCCAGGGAGTGGGGAGGGGTAGCATCAGCAATTCAAGGCTGTCTTTCCTACCTTCTTCAGTGTATTTTTTTCTTGATATGATGTTAAAATCAGTTATTATGATCACTCACCTGATTTTTGGTTCTCATGAATGTGCTTTCTTGTGTGGATAGTTTTTCAGTTTGGTGTTTCTGTCAGGGGTCAATTGCTGGGGGCGTCTATTCAGCCATCTTGCTCTGCCTTTGCTGTTATTGCTTCTTATAAATCAACTGCTGCTCCTAATTTTATTTTATTTTATTTTATTTTAATTTATTTATTATTATTAAACTTCAAGTTGTAGGGTACATGTGCACAACGTGCAGGTTTGCTACATATGTATACTTGTGCCATGTTGGTGTGCTGCACCCATCAACTCGTCATTTACATCAGGTATAACTCCCAATGCAATCCCTCCCCCCTCCCCCCCCCATGATAGGCCCCGGTGTGTGATGTTCCCCTTCCCGAGTCCAAGTGATCTCACTGTTCAGTTCCCACCTACGAGTGAGAACATGCGGTGTTTGGTTTTCTGTTCTTGTGATAGTTTGCTAAGAATGATGGTTTCCAGCTGCATCCATGTCCCTACAAAGGACACAAACTCATCCTTTTTTATGGCTGCATAGTATTCCATGGTGTATATGTGCCACATTTTCTTAATCCAATCTGTCACTGATGGACATTTGGGTTGTGTGCTCGCTTCGGCAGCACATATACTAAAATTGGAACGATACAGAGAAGATTAGCATGGCCCCTGCGCTGCTCCTAATTTTATAAAACACATTTCAGTAACTTCCAATTTTTACTAACATCATATTTCATTTTTAAAAACATCTTTCTTAAAGTTTTAGGACTTAGAAGAATCCCATAGATCCTCTGGACCAACTTTAATGATAAGAAAATGGCCACTCAGAAAAGTTTTGTCTTTTACTAGTGGCAGACCTAGGGCAAAAAGCTAATCTCCAGACTATTTTAGTAAGGGCTCTTCCCACTACACTTCTGAAACCCCTACCTAGAATCAGAAAAAGCATGCTCACTCACATTTGTGCATGCACCACCTTCCTTCCTGCTAAATATAGGTATAGATATATTTGCCTTAAATACTTTAACCTTTTTGATTGTCCTCACTTTTCTTTCTCAGTTGCTGCACAGACAGTGGTTTCAATACTTGGCTGGAAGGAAGATCCCACCATCCTATCCTTAAAGGATCATTTTGGTTAAGAAAAGTTTTCTTTGAACACATGAGTAATAATATGTTATTTCATCCAACACAACTACAAAAGAAGCAGATTGATGATTTTGTAAAGCTTTAATGACCTTAATTTATTATCACTCCTTGTATTTAGATTATTTGCCATATGACATTCCAGTTCCTCCCCAGCTATGTGGATTAACCAGTGGAATGTTAACAGGTGTGATGAGACCAAGGCTTGAAAAGCACCTGTATGTTTGGGTGTGCTCTTTTGTGACTTTGTCATGCTATGAAGCTCATGCCCTGGTTAGCCTGTTGGTCCTAAGATGAGGATGAGAGACACATGGAACTGGGGGAACCCACTCCAGGTGAAACAAGTCTAGCACAAAACCTCTCAGGTGACCTACAGATCCAAGAGAACAAATGATAGTTGTTTCAAACCACCAGGTTTTGAGGCAGTTTATTACACAGAATTTTGTGATACTAGGTTACTGATATTCCAGAGTATACAGGGTATAATATATATATCTGACACATGTTGGACAAATACCTGCAGACTGTATAAGACATAATGTTAGTTTCTCTTTATTATGGATTCATTTTTGAACAATCTATATTCCAATAAGAGGCTGAGGATATAATATTAGAGTAGTGATTTAGAGCACGAATGAAGTTAGATTGTCTGTCTTTGCTCCCTTCTATCTGATGACTCTGGGCAAATTACTTAATTTTTCTGTCCTCAGTTTTCTCATCTATAATTGGAGACAATGTTAGTATCCATTTAGCAGCATATCTGTCATGTAGTAAGTCCTCAAATAATATTGGTAATTAATAATAATGTACTGTCTCATCATATAATCTTGGAGTGTTGGTCAATAAGTTTTTAATTTATTATGCAATCAATTCTCTTTTCAGCTTGATTCTGAATTCATAATAGTTTTTTCTCGGCTTCTGTTTCTAACATACATCACCTTTGGATGTATACTTACACTTAGTAAGTTTTTATTACAAGAAACCTCTCAACGACTTATATTAATACTACAAGTAACTCTTTTATTATGCTTCTGTGCTGCTTTTATGTTAGGACCCTTAGTTAACAACTGCATGAAACTCACACATCGTTTTTTCAAATAGTTCATGATAACTTAGACTTATTGATAAGTCGTATTTGGTATTTTATTCATGATACCGCATATCTTCTTTTCTGGTTTCCTCTTACATTTTGCTAAAGAACATCCTAGAGCAATTTTAATTTTTTTCAAAGATGTTCAACTTTCCATCTTTAAAATTGTCTTTATTTTTCCTTCTCTCTTGAATAACAGCTTGCCTAATGAAGAATCCAAGATTCAAATCCCTCAGGATTTTATAGATATGGCTACATATTTTCTGGCATTTGGCATTAGAAAACACCAATGTCATTCTGATTTTTCTTCCTTTTCAGATAATGTATTTTTACTCTCTAGAAAATTGTAAGACTTTTTCTTTCTCCTTCGACTTCCTAAATTCTTCCCCGGTATTCGTAGGTCCCTTGGTGCAATATTGCTGCTCTGTATTCTAATTCTTCTAAATAAATAAATAAATAAAAGCTCAGTACCTTCTCTCAGTTTGGAAAAAAAGATATTCTTCTATTATTACTTGGATTATGTGATTCCTCCTACTCTCTCTAGCTTCTCCTTATACAAGTGTTATTAGGAAGATTTTAGAATTTCTAAACATTTTACATACTTTGTAAATATCTAAACCTCATGTACTGAATGACATCATTCCTTCCAAGTTTCTTGGACAATTTTCATCTGTCTTATTGCACTACATTCCAAGAAAACCTTTTGGCTTGATCTTCCGTAAAATTGATTTGGTGTTCAACCACAACCATTCTAATATTCAGGATTTTTTTATTGTCCTGAAGTTTTGTTTTCTTGTAGTTTCTTATTTGGCTTTGGTAACAGCATAATGCTGGCCTTGTAAAATGAGTTTGGAAGTTTTTCTCCTCTTTCATTTCCTGGAAAAGTTTGAGAAGGATTGGCATTAATTCTTTCAGTATTTAGTAGAATTCGTGAATGAAGCCATCAGATCCTGGGTTTTTCTTTGTTGAGAGGTTTTTTTTATTACAGTTTCAATCTCTTTACTCATTATTGGTCTGTTCAGATTTTCTATTTGTTTATGATTCAGTTTTGGCAGATTGTATGTTTCTAGAAATTTATCCATTTCTTTTAGATATCCATTTCTTTTAGATGGCCTATAATTGCTCATAGTAGTCTCTAATGATACTTTGTATTTTTATGCTATCAGTTTTAAGGTCTCCTCTTTCATTTATAATTAAACTTGAGTCTTATCTTTTTTCCTTTAGTCTGACTAACAGGTTGTAGATTTTGTTTATCTTTTCAAAAATCCAGCTCTTGGTTTCATTGAGGTTTTGTTTTTCTAGCCTCGATTTCTGCTCTGATCTTTATTGTTGATATTTAGTCAATTAGTGTAATACACCTCAGCAGTTAAGGAGTATGAATTTAGCCACACCTTTTGTATTTTTCAATTGTTCTCTAGCTGATACATAACTAAGTTGGCATCTCCTTCTTGAGGTAGTCCTTTCTCTCCCTAATTTCACAAGAATTCAAAGAATTTGCTCCAGTCTTTGTCTACTAAGCCACTGGACTTTTCATAAACTTGATCGGTGAGAGAGGTGCTAACAACATTGGACCTTAAAAGGGAAAACGTTGATCTTCATGGAAAACTCTTTCCCCATCTCATAACATTATCCCATGCAAATATTCCCATCTCCTCACCAGTAACCAACTCAGCATTTCAAAATCAGATTAAAGGCAGCTTTCGTTAGCCAAGGTCCTCCTTATTATCTTCTTTCACCTGGACAGTGGGTTAATGTACCCATTCAAGTGGCCCTTTTCTGAACAAAACTCAGTCCAACGTGACTAGTCTTGTCCATCTAGATGAAAAACACTTCTGGAAATTAAGAATTTTACATTCCACATCAATTGCTCTGTTACATTCGCTTCAGTAAATATATGTTTATTTTAATTTCTATGAAATTTCCTTTTTTTTTTTTTTTTTTTACTTTTTCTTAGTGGCCTATTATAACTAAGTGAATGCAGTGTCCTTCAAATATCTCTTAAGATACAAATTAAATTGTTTCAGTAAGTTTTTCTATATTTCACCAGTAATTCAATTGTTTCAAGAGTTAACTTCAGTTTGTTTAGTTGGGTGGCTCATTTTTATGCTATTTTTCTTCAATATATGGAAATTCTTAGTTGTTCATTTATATTTATAAGTAGTTCATTTATATCTACAGGTGGCTAGTGTGAAAGTTACAGCTTCTTTGATAATGAATATGATTACAAATGATAGAAGCCATAACTATAGTTAGCGAGCTGGGTGGTATCTTAGTCCATTCAGGCTGCTGTAACAAATTACCGTAGATGCAAGGCTTAAACAACAGACATTCATTTCTCACAGTTCTGTAGGCTAGGAAGTTCATGATCAAGGTGCTGGCAGGTCCAGTGTCTGGTGAGGGCCTGCTTCCTGGTTTGCAGAAGGCCATCTTCTTGAGGTGTCTTCACATGGCAGAGAGCAAAGATAGAGGAAGCAAGTTTTCTCATGTCTCTTCCTATGAGGCACTAATCCTGTCATTAGGGTTCTACCTTCATAACCTAATTACCTCCAGAGGCCCCATCTCATAATACTATCCCATTGGGATTTAGAGCTTCAACCTACGAATTCTGAGGAACACAAAAATGCAGTCATGTAGTGGATGGGAGTTTTCCATTAGAAGTTGAGAAAGTCTAGCCCTGTTGGCAGCTGACATTACCCAAGAGCACCACTCCACTTCTCTTTATAACCCCAGTAGTCACTTTAAATATCCCTTGCCTATCCCCAGTGGCAGAATCCATCTGCTCCTTTATTACCTTTCAGACTGTTCATGCCACTTCTGTTGGATCTGGGTGGAAATGCCTTTTCCAGGTGCTTGAAACACCCCAGGTTCATTAGCCTTCCCATCAAATGCCACGAAGTTGAGTATCTTCCTTACCTCCTCATAATTACGATCCCGGGGCTTTTCCAAAAACTCCAAACTTTTCAAACTTCTGTTTAAAATTGAGCAAACTCCTTTCTTCTTCCATTGCTACTCTCTTTCATTTGTATTAACTGTACTTACCAGTTCTATTTGGTTATTTCATCAAACTAATCCCATCTGCTTTATATCATCCAGAAACGTTTTGCTTCTGCTGGTATCACTCTTCCACATTTCCTAGTGCTGCTTTAGTGTTATGCTTATTTTTCACCCTGGTGGAACTTTAAGGACAGAAAAGTAAACATATGTGCTCAGTCATCAAGAGGGCACTTAGCTCCCAAGTGGCCTTTTCGCTTTGTTATTTTTCTTTTTTCCTTCCCTATTTATTTGTATTACTTTCACTGATTTAGTTTCTTTCATTTTGTTTTTATTCAAATACATTTATAAAAGCAGTACTGGCATAGGAATTAACTATTCCTTTATTCTAATCATGTTTCTGTGATTCCTGCCTGACACACAGCAGGTACTCATTAAGTATTTTTGAGCAAATGAATAAATGAAGCAAATTATCACACACTCCCCACT